AAGTCCTTCTATTGATCTCTCCCCCCCACAACATTCCCCAGCCTTCCCACTGTAATTTGACAGTCTGTTCGACGCTTCTCTGCCTCTGTATCTATCTTTTTGTTCATTATCCATAAATGAGTGAGATCATGTGGTATTTTTCTTTCACTGCCTGGCTTATTTCACTTAGCATAATGCTCTCCAGTTCCATCCATGCTGCTGCAAATGGTAAGAATTCCTTCTTTTTTATAGCAGTGTAGTATCCCATTATGTAGATGTACCATTGTTTTCTAATCCACTCATCTGCTGATGGGCATTTAGGCTGTTTCCAAATCTTAGCTATTGTACATTGTGCTGCTATGAACATAGGGCCACCCCAGTTTTTTAAAATTTATTTTTATATTCATGAAATATCCTTTTCCATCTCTTTGTGTTCAGTCTGTGTATATCTTTATATCTGAAGTGAGTCTCTTGTAGGCAGCATATGTAAGGGCCTTGTTTTCTTATCTATTCAGCCACCCTGTCTTTTGATTAGAATATTTAATTTGTTTACATTTAAAGTAATTGTTGATAGATTATAGTAATTGACATTTTATTATTTATATTTTTTATCTTGTTTTCTTCTAAAAGATGTCCCTTTAACATTTCTTGTAATAGTGTGGTGGTGATAAACTTTTAATGTTTTCTTATCTGAGAAGCTTTTTATCTGTCCTTCAATTCTAAACGATAGCTTTGCTGGGTAGTTTGTTGTCTTGGTTATAGGTCCTTCCTTTTCATTACTTTGAATATTTCATCCCAATCCTTTCTAGTCTGCAAAGTTTCTGTTGAGAAATTATGTGACAGTCTGGGAGATCCCTTGTAGCTAACTGCTTTCTTGTGCTGCTTTTCAGATTCTCTCTTTGTCTTTAACCTTTGGGTTTTTTAAATATGATGTGTCTTGGTATGAGCCTCTTTGGGTTCATCTTGTTTGGGACTCATGCACTTCCTAGGCTTATGTATGCTATTTCCTTGGCCAGGTTAGGGAAGTTTTCCCTCATAATTTCTTCAGATAGGTTTTTAATTTGTTGCCGTTTCTTTCCTCCTCCTGGTACTCCTATGATGTGAAAGTTGGTATGCTTGATGTTGTCCTAGCAGTTCCTTACACTATCTTCATTGTTTTGGATTCTTTTTGCGGTACTGATTGGGTGTTTTCTGCTACCTTATCCTCCAAATCGCTGATCCTGTCCTCTGTTTCATCTAATCTGTGGATTTTCTCTAATGTATTCTTCATTTTAGTTACTGTATTCTTCATTTCTGATTGGTTATTTTTTGTTTCTATCTCCATTTTTTATGTTTGCTATCTCTTTGTTGAAATTCTCCCTGAGGTCATTAAGCATCCTTGGGATTTTGGATGAATTGCAATTTATTTATAAACAGACATCTTTATGGTGTTGCACCTTGTTCTCAGACATGGTGTGATATATTGATAGGCTTTCTTCAGTAAATTCTTTATGCTTTTGGTTATCTCTTCTTTTCTATTTTGTTTTTGTTGCTACTGGGAATATCCTTCCTATTTTTTTTATCAAAGTATTTACAGGGAAACTTGATTTTTGCCTATTTATTTTAAAATTGATCTAGTTAAATTACTACTGTTCTAATATTTTTTCAAATGACTGAGGGTGAGGGAGTCTTGTGGACATCATAATTAACATTGCTGGATAAACTCTTCCCACCATACACACTACACAGGAGTGGAGGGGTTGTTGGGGTTGACAACCCCAACCCCCAGGTGGATCTGGTTCTTAAGCAATGTGGTGAAGTAACAGATTCCAGAACCACCTTTTGTGGGAATAAGTAACCTGGCCCTCAGCTCTTTCCCTTGAGCTCCAAGGCTAGTTCCAGAGCCTTTGGTGGCTGGAAAGAGGAAAGCTATACAGTGATTTTTAGCATATGCGATATATGTGTGTGTGTGTGTGTGTGTGTGTGTATACACACACACACATATATATGTATATATATTTAAAAAACCCAAAGGTTACAACCACTAACATTTGGTGGGCTCTTTGTGCCAGCCACTGTTCTAAGTGCTTTATATTTATTACCCTGTTTATCATTTGTGTCACAAGGCTCATGCTGTTATCCTTATCTTATTCTTGAGGAATTTCAGACAGAGACTTTTAGCTTTAAGGAATTCAGCCTACTTGAACCTGCATGGTCTGGTTTCAAAGCCAGCTTAATCGCTGTGTTGCCAGTAATTACACTTCCTCCCCTTTTGTGGGAGGAATGGAAAACATTTAGTACACAATACTGGGGCCTGGGAGGTGGCAGCTTAGACAGACACTGTTACTGGGAGTGCATATAAGTTCTCTACTAATCATCTTTGGGGTTCGAAAAGTGTGTGTGTGTGTGTGTGTGTGTGTGTGTGTGTGTGTGTGTGTGTTTTACCATGTACATGTTTTTTTACAATCAGGAAAATAATAAAGCTATTTTAATTTGGGGTGGGAGTGAAGTTATTTTCTTAACCACAGCGATTATATTGCTTTTGTCCTTGTTGTGAAAGTATATCATGTTTATATACAGTGAAAACCACAGTACTCAGAATGAGAACTGCAGGAATATATAGCCCTTAATACAGATTCTGCCTTCTAATCATCTTTTTTTTTTCATTTATTTTTTTAATCCTCACCTGATGATATGTTTTTATTGAATCTTAGAGAGATAGGAACACCAATTGGTTGCCTCCCCTACAGCCCTCAATGGGGTGATCAAACCCATAACCTAGGTATGTGCTCTGACTGGAAATTGAACCCATAACCTTTGGTGTACGGGACGATGCTCCAATAACTGAACCACATGGGCCAGGGCTTGAATAGATTCTTGAATGAATTATTAAACATGCTACTTGTGAACATTTGAAGAAATAGACTAACTTTATTTTCTTCTTTGGAAATTTTAAGAGTACCATACCCAAAACATGGTAATTAATTGACCCATATCCCCTGGGAGAATTTCTTACCTGTAGCGGCTCTCTTGGCTCCCCGGCTACCATATTTTAACAGTTTATTAATGAAGCAGGTCAAACTATGGAAAGCATGCTTATCGGGCTTTCTGATGACTCAGCAGGAAAGGATAAGGGATAAATTAGTGGCTTCAGAATTCAGAAAACTCAGTAGGTAGAAGCAGTGGGCTGAGTCTAACAGGATGAAATTGTAGAGATATTTAAGATTCTGTATTTGATTCAAAATAACAACAGAATAAGCACAAGCCAGAATTTAAAGTGATTGAAATCATGGATTGATATAAACTGAAAAGCATTGAAGCCTAACATTTATAATAGGGACAAATACGTCTATATTAATGATGTAATACAGTAATGCTCTCAGGGTCTATTAGAATACGTTCTGGTTCTTACTTAAGCTGTAGAAGAATAATTGATCCTCCAAAATAAACAAACAAAATGAAAACAGACTCATAAACACAGAGCATACTGGTGGTTGCCAGAGGGGAGGAAGCTTGGGTGTTGGGTGAAAAAGGTGAAGGGATTAAGAAGCACAAATTGGCAGTTACAGAATAGTCACAGGGGGCTAAAGTAGAGCATAGGGAATAGAGTCCTTAATATTGTACTAACTGGGTATGGTGCCAGGTGAGCACTTGAAATATCAGGGGACCACTTTATGAAGTATGTGATTGTCTAACTGCTATGCTGTGCACCTGAAACTAATACACAATAATATTATATGTAAACTAATTGAAAAGTAAAATGTAAAGTTCTTAAGAAAACAAGAAAGAAAGAAAGAAAGAAAGAAAGAAAGAAAGGAAGGAAGGAAGGAAGGAAGGAAGGAAGGAAGGAAGGAGAGAGAAGAGAAGAGAAAAGAAAGGTTGCTCCTTTAGGCTGAACATTCAATAAAAGTTGCTCCTCTAGGCTGAACGTTCAATTATTTTTTCTGTTGGCCTACTATGCTCATTTGGGGGATGTGCCTTTGATAATTTTTAAGAGACAACTCTAGATTTAAAAAAGTATTGATCAGTGTTTTAAATAACCCTACAATGTTTATATACATTTTTGCCTTGGATAAATGTTTAGTAACATTTATTTATTTTTTTAAAATATATTTTATTGATTTTTTACAGAGAGGAAGGGAGAGGGATAGAGAGTTAGAAACATCAATGAGAGAGAAACATCTATCAGCTGCCTCCTGCACACCCCCCACTGGGGATGTGCCCGCAACCAAGGTACATGCCCTTGACCAGAATCGAACCTGGGACCCCTGAGTCCGCAGGCTGACGCTCTATCCACTGAGCCAAACCAGTTAGGGCATGTTTAGTAACATTTAAATGTGTAAGAGTTTCCAGTTTTTGTTTTTGTTTTTGACATTCTGTTTTACTAAGTTGTAAATTTGGTAAAGAGGCTTTGGTATTCTGTATTTGGGGATTAGTTGGAGTTAGTGGGATTAAAAAAATTGTTAACTGGGATTCTTAAGGAATAATAAGAAAACATCTGGCTCTTGTCAGCACACCAGACCCCTCCCCAGGAAGCTTGCTGTGCTGAGGGGTGTGTCCTGGCTCTGGGACCCTCCTCACAGGGGAGGACCTGCCTCACCCATTTATCTCATTTCTGCCCTCTTTGCACGAGGGATTGAGATTGGTATGACATGTTTTTGAAAAATATTCCACAACATGACAAGCAGAATTCTTGTACTTTTGCAGCTGTAGGAGAAAAACCCCTCAGCACAGTTTTGTTGTGCTTGAAATGACCTAAGGAAAACGAATGCTCACAGAATCTCTGCCTGCAGCCCATTCTTCCCATCCCCTTCCCAGCCTCTCCGTAAAGATGGAAGGAAGGAATCAGGTGCCATTTCTTCACTGACACACTATACACTACCATTTGTTTCTTTCCAACATTTTATTATGAAAACTCAAACATGTAGAAAAGTTGAAATCATTTTTCATTGAACACCATAAACCCACCATCTAGATTCTATAAATAACATTTATTATACCTGCTTTATCACATATTCACCCATCAGTCCATCTTATTATTATTTTTTTCACATGCATGGTTAGTGTTTTATTCTTTGAAGAATGGTTCTGAAACATTACACTAAGTCAGACCGAAAGGTAAAATAGTTTTTATAAAGATATGTTGTAACATATGTAATGACTGTTCACTCTACAAAATCTTGGTCATAGAGCTTATAATACACCTAGTTGGCAGTAGCACCCAGGTTTTCCAAATTGTCAGTCATCATTTTTCTCTTGTCTGCATAGACTTCTTCTCATTAGCTGCTTTCTGCTTTTGTTGCATGATCTCAGAGTCTCTCTGTTTTCTCTGAGAGGCAGTCAAGCTGTCCTCTTTTCTTTTTCCCTTGCTAATTTCCTGGGATTTCTTCATGTTTTTCTGGCGGGCAAGTTCTCGTTGATTTCCACCTCCGTCTCTGCTGTCTGAAGACAGGTCAGTACGAAGGGGATTCCCCACCGGCCGCGCCTGGGTGACCCGCCGGCTTCCCTGCCCCTTCCCCAACCTGTCCGCACACTCACCGGCCATGCCGACCACCGCACTGAGCCCGGAAGAGCACATCTTATTATTTTTGATGGACTTGAAAATGAGTATTTAGGTTTTTTCCTTGTCTTTTATTACTAGCTGTGAATGCTTAATCCTTGTGATAAGGATTTCAGGCATCGTTAAGCAAGTGTGAGAAAGCGCACTGGCGAGCACGAGAGCCTCGCACAGGTCTCAGCATATGGAAGGTGTGCGGTAGATATTTGTGAAGTGAATGCCGTTCCATCCGTCCTGCTTGACTAGCCCTGGAGTAAACTTCAGTTTGCCTCTTAGGACAAACAGTTACTTTAAAAATAAACCATATATCTCTAGATATAGGTGAGCCTCGATTTATAAGATGGACTTCTTTTTATGAGACAGTCCGTGAAAGGCATTTTTATAGCATTTGAAATGGTTAAAAGGGGGTTTTGTTTGTTGTTGTTAGTCCTCACCTGAGGATATTTTCCCGTTGATTTTTAGAGAAGGTGGAAGGGAGGGGGAGAGACACATCCATCGCTGCCTCCCGCACACACCCTGACAGGGACCAGGGATCGAGCCTGCAGCCGAGGCATGTGCCCTTGACCAGAATCAAACCCAGGACCCTTTAGTCCATGGGTAATGCTCTATCCACTGAGCAAAACCAGCTAGGGCTAGATATATATATTTTTATGATCTATAATACACATACATTTTTTTCAACAGTGATTCTCTCTCAGTATTCCAAGGAACTCACATTTCTGGGTTGGTGCCTCAAGGATCCTCTTTGAACCCTCAGATGTTTTCTGAGAAATTAAGATTTCATTGCAGGAAAATGTTTGAAAATTACTGGCCCGTCTCCACAGCCCTATGAGTCATTGTACAGTGGGTAACATTGTAGAACAAGAATGCAGTGTGTATCCTGCATTCTGCGTTTACTTGTCTGGGAAAATGCATTATCAGGATTCATCCCAGTGGCTCTAGATAAAGAATGGTGAGAGTTTTAATGGCAAGGGGAAACTCTAAAGATGTCTGGCTCTTGCAGGTGTCTACATGTTTGTATGTCTCTGTATATCTCTTCGGTCCCTGAGAGTGCGTTCCCATAATGAACAATGTCTGTGTTACTACTTCTTACCTCCTGGAAAGGAGGGGCATCCCTTTTTCCCCTTGATGAAATGGGTGTGTTTTGAGGACTTTTGGGGGGCCAGTCTCTAAATGCAGTGTGGGCAGTTACCAGAACTTCTTCTATTTCCAAAACAGAACTGGGCTCTGAATCATTTTGGTAATATGTCTCCTTTCTCCCCAAACATGGCGGCCACTGTCATGTGGTGTCTGTTCATACCAGCATGTATACAAAGGGAACTTAAAGGTTGTTGGTTTTTTTACTGAGTTTACATTTGTAACTTCTTTTCCTTTCCACTCCCAACAGGCTCGGGTTTTGTATGATTTTGCTGCTGAACCTGGAAATAATGAACTGACAGTTACTGAAGGAGAAATCATCACAATTACAAATCCGGTAAGAGAACTATTGCATTTAAATCGAATTGTCCCTTAAGGACTTATTTTTAAGATTTTATTTATTTATTTTTTTGTTAATCCTCACCAGAGAATGTTTTTTCCATTGCTTTTTCAGAGTGGAAGCGGGAGAGGGGGAGGGTGAGAGAGACAGACAGACAGAGATAGAGAGAAATCAGTGTGAGAGAAACACATCGATTGGTTGCTGCCCTGACCAGGAGTGGGGAGGGAACCCGAAACCCAGGTAAGTGCCCTTGACCGGAAATGGAGTCTGAGACCCTTCGGTGTATGGGCTGAGGCTCTAACCACCAAGCAACACCAGCCAGGGCAAGAATATTTTATAAACATTGAGTAAGTCAAGTCCCCTAAAGATAGCTGGGTAGGGTTTCATCAAATAGAAATCCTAGCCAGATCCCAGCCAGATCAAAGGTGCTGAAATTAGAAAGTACTCAGTGTTTCTTAGAAGTCGCAGCAATATATTGACAACCTATGAGTCAGGTGTTTGGCTAAGTTCTATGCCTGTTTTCTTTATTGTATTTTCCCCATGAACTCTATGAGGTCAGTATTTTTCATCTCTTTTTGCAAATGAGGGTAATGAGACTTAGAGAAGTTAAGTAACTTGTCCAAGGTCATTCTGCTTGTAAGTGACAAAACAAGGGTTCAAAGCCACATCTGTTTGGCCTCTAAGCTTCTGCTTTTCTTCTCTGCTGGGAACACTGCATGGACACCAGTGTCCCAGGAGCACAGGTATGTACAGACCAGTAGGAGACAGGCTAGGAAAACGGGCTCTTAGAGCCAAATCAGGCAGGACTTGTGTGCCAGGCCATACACAGATCCTGGGCTTCATTTGTTAAGTAGTGGATTCATTTAAGGGTTTTGCTTGTTTTTTCTGGTTGGTGGTGTTGGCAGGGAGACATGATGAGACCTGCACTTTGCGGAAAATAATCCAGTAGAGGTATGTGGGATGGATTGGAGCCGAGGGACATGGCTTTGAGTCATAGCAATAGAATTTGAAAGAAAATTGATATAGGAGGCTGTGGAGAGTCAGACCCAGGTGACGTGGGCCTGTTGGTGAGGAGAGTCAAGGACCCCTGAGGCTTTTGTCCTTTATGCCTAAGACAATGGTGGACTTATTAATGTATGTAAGTCAGGAAGAAAGATGAAATGAGTTTACTTTAGATATGTTGAGTTTAAAGAATAGAAAATAATTAACGTGGGTTGCATCAGTTTAAGAATGGAAATGCAGAGCTGGAGAGGAGGCTGGAGATGGGCTGGCTCCCTGGACTCTCCGACAGGAAGGCCGAGGGCACTCTGGAGAAGGAAGGAGATGCAGGTGTTCCACCAGGAGGGGGAGGACGGGGATGCCCAAGAGGAGGATGGTGGTTTCTTCATAGTGATAGTATTTTTACACCTATTTTAAAATCTGCCTTAGGTACAAAAATGAATTACTGGGTAGAAAAAGTATATGTGGTTTTATAAAATACTAGTAGCCCCGCGCAGGTAGCTCTCTGCTCGCCTCCCCACCCTCCTGTAGCTCCTCCTGCCACCCTCCCCCTCGGCCCACCTCATAGCTTGCTGCCCTGCCCCCTCCTGTAGCTCTCCACCGCCCACTTGTAGCTCACTGCCCCACCCTCCTGCTGATCCGTGATCCAGTCGTTACACAGTTGGTCATTACGCTTCATGGCGTAACAACCATTTGCATATTACATCTTTATTATATAGGATGCTAGGTGTATATAAGTAAATGGATTCTATTTTTAAATCATTGATGAAATTTTGATTCTTTTATCTACCTAATTTTTTAATGAAGACATATTCTTCATATCTTAGAAAAATAGTAATGTCTTTAAGTTGCTGTTGTCAAAAATGGACAGAATTGTGGCTTAGAGTAATTTCTTTTAAAAGAATGAAAAATGTTTTATCTAGATTCAGGTAATTTTTAAAAAATATATTTTATTGATTTTTTACAGAGAGGCAGGGAGAGGGATAGAGAGTTAGAAACATCGATGAGAGAGAAACATCGATCAGCTGCCTCCTGCATACTCCCTTCTGGGGATGTGCCCGTAACCAAGGTACATGCCCTTGACTGGAATCGAACCTGGGACCCTTGAGTCTGCAGGCCGCCGCTCTATCCGCTGAACCAAACCGGTTAGGGCTAGATTCAGGTAATTATTAAATAATTAGGGCACAATTTATGAACTTAAGACAACTCTTACTATTTTAAGGAGGGAAAGTGGCTTTTGCTGAGATAATAGATTGAAACACAGGAATCCTGGTATAGAGTCCTTTATTATTTATTAATATTATTTATCAGAAGAGCTAACTAAGGAACCCATGGATCAATTAGTTAGCGTTTCCTAAATAATAGGCAATCTCAGAGCTTAGTGACTAAAACAAACAACCATTTGTTGTTGCTCAGGAGTCTACAAGTCAGCTGGATAGTTCTACCAGCCTGGGCTCACTCAGGAGCCTGAGGTCACCTGGCACTGGGCTGGGGCCCCCTGGTAACATGTCTTCACTCACTCACGTGACTGGCAGTGTTCCTGCTGGGGGTAGGCTGGCTTTAGATGGGGCAGCAGGCAGATTGGGCCTTGTCTTCCTCATCATCTAGCAACGCAGATGTGTTCACATAGCAGCTCTTTTAGGGGAAAAGCAGTCTGAAATGTGCAAAGCCTCTTGAGCTCACCCCACCATTTCCAGCTCACTCTGTTGACCAAGAGGCCACAAAGGACAGCCCAGTTCTAGAGGTGGGGTGTGCATCCTGCTTCTTGCCAATCAGAGCTGCAGATCATTTTTGTAATCTACCACAGACCATAAATAGGAAGGAATCACAAAATGATGGCATTCTGTGAATAGGCTATTTACAAATCTTTGATCACTTATTGTTGAAGTTTGATACTTCTTGTTTTTAGATGATATTATTTTCTGGAGTAAAGAGAAGGCTTAATAATTTAAAATTTTGAATTGTGTTCTCACATATATAACAATTCCCAAAGTAAATACTTTGCAAGAAATTCTAACTATATTCTTTCTTTCCGTTTTTTGTTTTTTGTTTTATTTTGTGTTTTGTGTGTGTGTGTGTGTGTGTGTGTGTGTGTTTGTTTTTAACTTTCTTAGGATGTTGGTGGAGGATGGCTGGAAGCAAAAAACAGCAAAGGAGAACGAGGTCTTGTTCCCACAGACTATGTTGAAGTAAGAACTTACTGCCATTTATCAATTAAACCTTGTCTCTGTCAAACATAGTTTTATGAATTATCATCTTAAGGGACAGACTAGATGATAGCAACTTTATTTTTAATAAAAAATTTTCATTGCAAAAGTAATACACGCTAATTATGTAAAATGTGAGAAGACATTGAAGTAGAATTAAGAAAAAAATATTATCTGTGGACCCAGGCTCCAAAGAGCGACTCCAACTATTTAAGTGAAGTTCTTCCCAAAGATAGCAATGTTTCATTATTCTGAATCTAAGTCCCTGTTTGTCACTTGCTTATATTGTGTAATAGCCGCTGCCTACAATACTGTTTATTAT